CATCTGTCTGAACCTAAGAGGGGACCTCACTGCCTTCATTACACTGATCTGCGTGGTCTGACTGATCAATATCCGAGGGAGGGCCTCTTAATATCATAAACATGCTTTTTGAGCAAGTGCCTTCATATGCCCTATTACTACCAGAAAAGGTGGGTTATATAGAGAGAGTGCTATGTAAAGTCACTAAAAAAAGAAATAGTGGAGGCATTTCATTTCATGGTAGGTAGACTGCTTTCTTTTTAGTCACAATTGTAAAGTATTACATGTACTACAATAACTTGTTTTGTCGACTAGTTGCAGAAATGTCATAAGTAACTCATCTAACAGGGTCTGGGGATAGGTCCCTAAAAGTCTATCATAGACATAGGGACCAGCTTGGGCTGGTTTCCTGCTCTGTGTGTCTTGGCACAGAGCTGATGTGGTTGTCTTTGCTAATAGACATGAACGTGGTGAAAGCGAAGGGCTGCAGATTGTGTGTGTGTGTGTGATGGGAAAGCCGAGAGGTTTTACCTTGCTCCAGTAACACTTTTTCTGCCACTGTATTTTCAATGGTTTCCTCAGGAAATCCTGCAATACAAATATGGTTTTGGAAATTTAATTAAGCACGAGAGTTATGCATTCAGCTGGAGTGTGGCCAGCTGAAATTGTGATTCCAGAAGAATATGAAGTTGTTTTATCTTTTGTCTTTTTTTTTTTGTTTTTCTTGAGTGAGGATGGATTTTGGTTTAAAATTTTCAGACATAACCCATGAAATTGGCTGGATTTTTTTCCCTCACCACAGACGTCTGTGGTGCCTTAAGTATCTAGAGTTGCTGTACAGCTAAGTGTGGAAAAATCACTGCTTCTGAGGACAGTCATGTTGCCTTTTTTCAGATACCTGTACTCTGCCGTGTGCCTCTGTGAAGGTTTATGAAAGGTAGACGAAATTTTGGGTTTTTTTAATCTTTTTTGAGTGGTGAAGGAAAATAATAGCTTAGATATTTATGAAGAGGTCACCACACACTTGTGGAATTACAGTCTAATTGGAATAGTTCACCCCACGCTGCTTTTGCACTTCCTCTCGATTCCGCTGCTGGTGAGTGGCCCTGAAGTCAAAGACACCTTGTTTTGATTTTATGGAGCAAATGAACTCCAGGTCAGAATTCTTTGGGGTTTTGACTGAGGTTTTGGTTTTAACCAACAATCTCCATTGAAAGTCCCCTTATTTAATTTGTAAAAGATGTCTTTTAAATTCTAATCTCCAGCGCTTGCAGTCCAACTGTTGGTAGGGTGGAAGGATAAAGGCATTCAGTCTTTCTCCCCTGGGACCCTTGGTGGGTACAAGCATGCTTGGGTAATAGTAATAATTGGACAGCATCCCAGAAATAAGGAAAAACAGGAGCAGGAGGAATTGAGGAGGAAATGCCTGAGAGCAAGATGTTGCAGAGATTTGGAAGCTGATGCTTGATGTATAAAAGGAARCTTCCGTTTTAGCATCAAGTGCATGGTATAATTGCTCAAGGAAGGCGCTCTTCTCTTATAATATGAGGTTTTAAATATTTTACATTAGTGTTGTGCTGAGTGTGTAGAGAAGAAAATATACCTTATGTCTTAGAAACCTGCAAAGACTCCCAAAATGTTTAAAAATAGAAGATCTATTAGTGCTTCTGTGATCTGTATATAAGTGACAGCAAAGAAGAAAGTTCATGTTAGCTGATGGAAGCACCTGCCTCAGTAGCTTCAGGAAGGACAGTGAACTGTGGCTGGACTTTTTTTTTAATTAAAAAAAATTAATTGCACTTGTTTCTATGCAAGATTAATCTTTAAAAAAAAATTAATTGCACTTTTTTCTATGCAAGATTAATCTTGTCCTGTACGGTGCAAACTGAGCATGTGTGTGATGGAAAGAATTAGTGCTGTCTTTGTTCAGCATTACATGAATGACTGCCTGATAATGCTGTCATGCAACAAATAGGCTGTTGCACAGCAATTAGAAATTGAAGCTAGTCTTGCAGAGCTGCAGACATATTTCACCAGTATCATACGTCTGCCTTTCTGAAGTAAAATAAAAATATCTTCCACTTTCTTGCTAAAGTTTTCATTGCTTATTCTTATCGTGGCTGTATTTTTGCAATTTTACTGGAATCAGCTATAAGATTTGTAATTTTTTGCATTTAAAAAATTGTTCTCCATGTGCACATCACATGAAAGAAAGAGTTTGTGTCAAAAACTTCTTGCCTTCATCCTTTTTTCTTAGAAAAATTAAGTATAGGAGCAAAAGATACTCTGCCCCTGCTTATTCCCAGGGTTGCATAGACCTGCTTAGTCTGCGGAAGTTTTGCATTTTTAAAAACCTGTTTGATTGCCCTAGCTCAGTGCTTATGTTCATACGATCCCGGGCCATGCAGAAGCAAGGCCCAGCATCGGGGCTAGGCCTGGGGGGCCATCAAAGCAGGGACTGTTCCCACACCAGGGCTGCCGAGTGGCTGCCACGGCCTGCAAGGAGTTTCCTTGCTCACTAACTCTTTTACGAGCAGCTGCCATGGGGAGCCTYGGCCTCAGGCTCAGCTAAGTCTTAGGCGAGGCTGGGGAAACACATCAAGCCTGGAGTAGCCCTCGCAGTGCGGGTGGAAAGGGGTCGCTGCAAGGGGGCAAAAGCTGCATSTTTTGTGCCCTGGGAGCCTTTGAGCCAGATCTCAGGTGCAAAATGCCTCGTTTTGGGAATGTAAATCAGTAGAGACCTGCTGCAGTCGTTACAACTTCTCAGGTCAAGGTGAGGTACAGGTGAGTGTGAATGGGCACAGAGAACTTGGCTCGCGTGGGGCCTCCCTAGGCAGAGGCACACTCAGTCCTGCGCCTACAGGATGTTTTTCAGCCAGATTGGTGGCTGCTCACAACTTAAGACACTTGCTATTTTGTTGTCTGGGCTCTTGTGCTAGATGAGGCAATGATTTAGCAGCAGCCAGTCTGCTTTGGAAGAGAGCTCCCTTGGGGAAGCTCAGTCCTGGAGCTTCCAGTGCAGACCATTTAGAGATGTTCCCGACATGAGGTAAACACTTCAGCCACAGAGATCTTTCTTCCTTGGGCTTTTCTATCTTGCCCCATCCTATTTCCTTCCTCTTCAGACTCCAAACTGTGGTCTGAACTGTTTTTCATTCCCTTCTGGGGAGATTCCTGTGATTCTGCTTTCCTTCCTCTCATTTTATCCCTCTCCCATATTTCACAGGGAAGCCTGTACAAGCCATTTTGATGATTTATTTAGAATGGATTTTGACATTTGGGGTTTCCATTAAGATCCTTGTGTTTTACTTGCTATTACTGTCTGTGTTTTTAGTGCACACCTGCAATACCAGTTATGGTGCCTGCTGTATTCACATCTGAGTAATTAAGAAAATGGATGCATTTGCTAATGTATCGTTTTTCCCTGAAACAGAGTAGGTACTGCAGATTTAGGATACCGTACAGATGTCACCATGGAAATGGAGTATTCAGAAAGAGGCATCTGAAGGAAAAATTCTTCAGCTGCCTCCTGTAGCATTGAAATGTAAAATACTGGTTTTTGGAGTTGCTGTTGTGCAAATATGAAAAATAAGTTAGTGCCTTTTGGGGGAAAAGTAACGTCTGTTTATGAACTGTAAAATAAAATTCCGATAATAGGTAATGTATGGTCTTTTCATGCCATTCTGTGCATTTATGAGACAAAGAAAATGAATCTTTTGTTGTGTAAATATATTAAATGCATTTGTCATCATGTATTTCTAGGATGTAATAGCTAGTGTTATATTCTCCCTTAAGCAGATGGCAAGTGTAGTCTATGTGAGCTTGGGTTGCAGAGATGTTAACTGTAAGTAGATCAAGGAAATAGACTCTTCACCTCTTGGTCTGTCCTCTGTCCCACAAAAAGTCGATGTCATTCCCAGGTTTATTTCCTGCACATGACTGTGCCAGGCTGTCTGAAGCACAGACTCCAGAATAGAGACTTAGTGTTAGCACAAAGTGATATTCCTCTTTCCCATAGTGGGAATTAACATTTTTAGGGTGTTTTAAACTCTTAGATATTTTACTGTTCCTTTATAAAAATCTTGGATCTGAAGTGAGTGTCTTGGAGTATTAATTTTCTTCCCAGTTGAGGGGACCGGTCTTTGAATAAAAGCATATTGATTTTCTCATGGGATGTGAGTGGTAAAGAAACACAGCTTGTTGCAAGGGGATCTTATAAAGAAAATTCCCCAGCTTTTAGAGGCTTGGTAATTTTTGAAATGTTGTAACAATGCACCACGTCAGCACTTCTCATAGTGTATTCCTGGGCTGGGAGAACTTGGAATTTTCAGTTTTGGGAGGGAGGAGGGTCTACTAGTCTACAGATACTGTTTGAACAAYGTTCAACTACGGTACCACTAACCAGGTCCTATTCTCATGGTGAGATTTGTTTGTTTGTCTTTTGGTCTTAGTTTTTCTGGACTCCCTTTTTATTTGCCTCTTTGCATTTATATTTAATGAGGACCTCTGTTCTCCACAACGTGCACGCAACTCTGGTCTCAACACATATGCAAGGGTAGAGTTTAATTGCGAATAGAGAGGCTGAAAAATAGATGGGCTGCCCCTAAAGGGCATGTTCTTTCCCACTGCCTTGCAGTGGAGAAACTGATGGCCATTTCTTCCAAGCTGTGGTCATACTCAGGTGCCTTTTGGGTTTCTGTGCTCAGGTCTCCCTAGCACACTCTGCCTTCAGACAGTGGAAACATACTCATGTGACAAAATTCAAACAGAACCCTTGAAAACTGAGGTGATTTAGATTGATTTGGGGCATTGCAAGCAATTGCCAAGGTAGTCTCCTGTAGACATTTCTCCTCCTGCCTTTTCTTCATGTTAGTGATGGCTCTTGGGGTAAACACACATGCCTTCAGTAGAGAAGGAAGGGAAGAATATTCCCTTCCTGAAATCCTTACRTGCTAGGAACAAGTGTTTGATAATTTGGGCTTTGTAACTCATTACTTATAAATACTCCTTTCTCATGACAGGTTGCTGAATGCAATAAAACCAGGACTGGTAAAAAAGATCAATAGACTGCCGACCCCCATTGCAGGTTTGGTAAGTATACCAAATGGAGAAAATCTTTCTGTGTTGCTCTTGGCACCTTGATTATATGACTTTGTGATCTTAAACAGCAATTATTTTTGTAATTTGAACTCCCTTTGGAGATCTTCCAGTCTTTTTGCAGAAGTGGGGAGTGTTTGCGAGGCACAGTATATTTTTACAGGAAAAATATCTTAGAGTTCTGGTCTAGATTTAGAAAGACTCAAAGGTGCCCTCTGGAATTTTCGGCCACAAGAACAGTTTTTTGGAAAGAAAGAAAAATGTATTTGTATATTTTGTCTCCTTTTTTGCTCTTTCCTCAAAACACTACAGTCTACAGATAACATTAATTGCAAGATTATCTAGGGAACTGCTTCATGTTGACTTAAAGGGCAGAGTGAAAGTTGGCCGTTACTGGTAGGAATTTGGAAGCCTGCAGAGGACGTGCTGACTGCCCATGGGCTGGACCTGCCCCTTGAGGCCAYTGCACGTGGCTTTCAGGAATGCTGCTGCCCAGGAGGCCACCTCATGCGGTGGCACCGTCCTGGGCCTGCTGCTGTAATGGATGTTGGGTCTAGCAGGACTTGGGACAGAGAAATGCAGCTGTGCTTATTTTGCCTGGAGTCACCATTAGGAATGAAAGGGCATGGAGCGTGTGGAAGGGACCATCCTTAATGCAGGTTGATGGCTTCCCAGGAACTGCGGTTCCTGACACAGTTCTGACACCTCTCGCGCTGTAGCTCCAGTTGTGCAAGATTTGGCCCATGTCACCTGTTGATGGCTGAAGTTCCTGTTCCTGTATATAAATATCATGATAAAGTTTTTTTTCAGGATAGACTAAGTTTTTGTTAATGATAGCTTTAACAGGATGAGGTTGAATTATACATATCTTTTGCTATTAATTTCTAAAATGCCAAAGGTAAGTTAATTATGGATAGGAGGGAGTGCGTAAAAATGACATTACATCAATGATTTTTTTCTAATTTCTGGAGAAAAAATCTGTCTTGGAAGATCTCTATCCTCAAAACATTAACCAAAATGTGCTCTTTAGGCAGTTAATGGTGCAGCAGATTKWTTTTTTTTTTTTTTTTTTAGTATTAGAAAGGCACTTTTTAACTTTTGTAACCTGCTTCTTCTATTAACACGCAGTAATTATTTTCGAAATATTTTTCCCAATAAAGTGTTTGTTTCCTAAGGTGTTTGTTTGCAAAGTGCACTGTAGCTTATGCGTTTTCAAAAAAAAATACTCAAAACATTCAAAAATTTTTTGTTTTTTTTGTTAATTTCTGACCTCACCTGTACCACCATGCCCATGTGCCTGAAAATATGTAAAATGCTGAGATTATCGTCCAGAAATAGTTCTACCTCTTAGCTAACTGAATGCATTATAGGAACCTTCATTTATTTATTGCAAATTCTTTTTTTATCCTAGTTTTGGCTGCCTTGGATATAATTAATTCTTTCCATTTATTTCACCCCCATTTGTATGTGCTGTGCACACCCAGATGTACCATGACGTGTCAGTATCTTTTCTGCCTTGAGRTACCTGATTTTGATCTCTTAGATTTTGTGTCTACCTAGAAGTGCAACCTACCCATACCAAYAGGATTATTTTATTTATTCCTTATAGCTGATACAATAAGCATTTCAATCAGTCACAAGAGACAATAGAAAGGTTTTCTCCCTTTAAAGACTCGTAACTAAAGCTTATGAGTAATTGTAAGCACTCAAAGTGGCTTTTGTTTCATATTTAACCTCCAGAGACACAAATGCTCATATATCATGCAGTTCTACCAAATTTCTACTTCAGTCTACCTTAATTCTCTAGATGTTTTTTATTTCCTTTCTTGCTGTAAGGACAAAAAAAGTGTTCTTTACTGAAGGAAAATAACTAAAATTCAAGCCTGTCTTGGAGTCATCCTGAGACGTTCATGTGGGAGTCTTATTGGCTGTAAAAATTTTGCCTGTACTTGGTGTTTGAGTGATTTCTCATAATGCTACTGTGAAATATTATGAATAACTGATCTGTTTTCAACAGTTAGAATTTTTCATGGAGTTTAAAGCTAAATGAATCTGCAGTTTTTCTGAAGTACTTATCCACTGGCTTCCTCATGTGGTTTAAGAGGAATGGCTTTTTTGCAGGGCTTTTGTATACCAGAAAGTATGAGTCGTGTGAGTATAATTTATTTGTTATTGTATGGTAGTTCCCAGGTAGGGAGTAAAGGATCTGAACACCACGGTACTAAACACAACTGAATTTGAAAACTAAGCACAGGCTGTATAAATACACAAAGGTGATCTTTGTCTTGTTGCAAGTCTAAGGCAGGATATGGGATAATACATAACATTACATATAGAATTACATATGCTCAGCTTGGCAAGCGTGTTTGTGATTTGCTTTGATCTCCAGAAGTGCCGACTGGTTCTGTTATCACAGCAGAAATGATGCATTGCTTTAATGAAAGGGAACATAGGACAAACCATCCTTTTGGTATTCAGACTTACAGGGAGTATTAGATTTGATTAGATGCTTTCTCAKTCTTCTCATTATTCATTAATCCAGAAAGCTTAACGCTCCCACTAAAAAGTGAATTCACAGCACACCCAAAGAACATGAAACCCATGTAGGAATTGCTGAATATGCTAGAAGTGCCATGTTTCCAGCAGAAATGTCAGTGGGTGAGAAATTGATCCTGAGCATCTTCGCTTCAAGGCTGCCAGCTTTCCAGAAGCATCATTTCATGTGCTTAATCATGCAAGCCTGAAAAATATTTTGGCTGAGTTATTAATTAGAAGACCAGAAGCTGCAAAGATGCACAATGATGGATTATTAGAGTACAAAGAATATGATGACGCTAGAAGTGATTTTTATAAGACGAGCAATTTTTCAGTGAGTTGCTTTCACCTTCGTTCTTKTTTTTAGTATGACATTTAGAGTGGGCAAAACTGATGTGTAAAGATTTTACCGATTGTTATTTTGTTCAGTGGGTCATATAAGAATTTTGTTACTTACAAAGAAAGAGAGTTTTTTTTCTCAGCATCGTCTTAGTTAATCTTTGCCTTTAATGGTGACCACTGTATGTTGGCTATATTTTTYCTTTAAGAAAAAAATCCAGATTTAYTTCCTGTCACTGAATAATGCTACTCTGTGAGAAAAGAAATGGTTTCTGCCTTATCTTTTGTTTGACAGGGTTTAGCAGAGTTTATAGCATTACTTCAGTTCCTTGAACAATCCCCCCAGGAGCTCAGACACTTCAGAGACTGTGTGAAAGAACCTCACATATAATAGTAGGAAATAGCCAAGACAGGGCTGAAGGGCTGAACTTTAGCTTGTGTCTTGGCTCCTGTTGCAACACTACTGAACAAAACTTTGTTTACTGTGGCATCCGTTTTTCAGCTTGTGTAGGGTCCTCATCTATGTGATATTTGTATGATTTAGGAATGCAAAAAATAGCTCTGCAAAAGCCACCTGGTTGCACGGCTATTGTATCAAGAGGAACATAGCTGTAACCTGCTGTTTAAAAACTTTGTTCCTGTGACAACAATATTTCTTTTCAAGATTATTTTTCTTAGGAAGATTTTCTTGGCAATATGGTCTTTGGGAGCTTGCTGTGGATCTTGCTAAGAACTGCTACATATCTGTAATTGTAATTTTGTAATTTGTAATTTGACTTTCATGCAGTTGCGTAAATTCCAGTATATTTTTGATGGAATACCTTTAGGAATACCTTCAAGATATTTCAACATTGTATTGGCTTTCAGGAATTTGCCCTTTTTAAGTTAGCTCAACAAACAGGACTCTTTTCTTCAAGCACATATGAACTTGAAAATATAAGACAGAAATATAGAATAGTGCATTGTGCAGAACTGAAAACAATTTGAAAATATAGAGAAATAGATGGAACTTCAACTGATGTACATTATTTTTTGTCAAACTTTCCCACTATTTTGTTTTGTTTCTCTTAAATATGTTTTTGTTTGTTTTTCTTAAATATGATCTTCTCATTCTTCCTTTTARCGCCCTGCTCTCCCTTTAATTCTTTGGAGTATTTTTTTGAAAGAGCCTGCTGCTGCTGCAAGGCCTAAATTCGCATTATGGTTTTTGCTTTAGTTATTTTGTACTTTTTATTGCTGCGGGAGAGCYGTCGTATCCATAAAGAAGCCGTGCTGTGCAAGCTGTGTTACATRTGAAGTAAACAGAAGCAAAATTTCATAACTGCCTCGAAACAGTAAGCTCGTGGCTCTCGGGTCCCCCGGCCACTTTTGTGCCTGTTGATGCAACGTGAAGCAGCAACCACTACAGCTGGAGTCTGTCCGCGTTCCTGCGGCTCTTCCTGGCTAAACAGCGACCCGCTTGGCCTCTCCTCCTGAGCCCGACCCCAGCTCTGACATCTGAATATTTGAGTGGAGCAGCACTTAGGGCCTGGCCCGTGGTTTGGAACAGCTCTGTGTGCTTTGGCTCACCAGMTCCTGTAATGTGATGATCCCTTCTCTGAAAGAATAGTGTCCTTAAAAAACAAGTTCATGTCTGCAGCATCCTCGTATGCTTATTTTTCCCCCAAGCTTTTTAGACTCTTCCTTTGAATTCATTTTCCATCTAGTTTTTCCTGCTTGTTTGATTTGGTGTTATCTGAGTCGGACAGAGCTACGTTACAAAATTCCCATTTAATGGGAATTAATATAGCCACATGCTGTACTTGTAATCATTTCTAAATTTTATGAAGAATACAAAAGTAAACTAACAGGTGTTTCTTAACCAGGCTGTTTATATATGGAGCCTGAATGGAACASTCTGCAGTGACAGTTAATTCATAAGAGAAGATGAAAGCAGCCATCAATTCAACTTTGGCAGCCGGCATAGAGAAAGTGGCATTTGGGAAAATGAGATGGAAACCAATAAAAACGAAAGCTTTAAATTGAAATTCAGCTGTTGTTCTAGACTGGATTGCAAGTTTTTATTGCTCCCAAGTAGCTTGCAAACGTTGTCCAGAAAGCATCGTTCTCTTCATGCCGTC